TCACGACCTGTTAATCGTTTTATGATTGTAGCGGTGCTTTTGTTTCCTGTGCCAGAACGGTACTTGCACCCCACACTCCCCACTCAAAAAAGAAAACCAAAAGCCGAGAAACCAAAACTCGAAAACTCGAAAACCCCCAAGTGATGTCTGCTTTTCCTTTTGTTTTCGCCCAGGGAGCCGCAATTTTATTTAAATTGTAACACAAACGGCCAGACAATTGCCCCTCGAAAAGAGCTGCCCAAGAACCCGAACCCGATCCTGATTTCGATTCCGATTCCCAACCAATCTTATGCGTTATTCATGAGCCAGCGGGAAAAAAAGAAAAACATTGGGATCGCCTGTACCAATTGCCAATTGGTTCGACTTTTGAGCTGGCGTTGGCGGTTTTCTCTGCCGGCTTTCGTCAATCTCTGGGCTTTGGCTTAGTGCGATGGAGTTGGCTTCTTGGTTAAGTGGTTCATTGTCACCCCAGCGCCCAATTAGACACCTGAGTTTCTCAGTCTCCGAGTTTCTGGCGATCATGCATCGCACACATGTGCCACGTTCTTATATTCAATCAGATATATTCACTCGATCTTGAGTCCCATCTGTATAAGGAGTGCGCTCGCTAGTCTGAGTGTGTAAATCAACCAGCTTGTTTTTCAGATAATAGATTTTCTATTTTAAATAACACTTGGGGGATTGTTTGTTCAATTGCTATTGTGAATAACGTTTTTATGCAGTGTTGGAAACTCATTTTACAATTTTATTTTATTTAAAGTTGTCGTATTATTGTTTTATATATGACGCTGTTGTTCTTTGTTAATTTATAAAATTGTTTGTGAATAATTTATAGATTTTTGTATTTTTTTTACAAAATAATTATGGTCATCCAAATTATATATTAATACGGTGAATAGAAAATTCCACCATAGGCTGGACCTAAATATTTGGAAATTTAACAAAATTTGTACCCCAATTAATGTCGTATTGTAATTTGTATTTCAGTAATTGTAGTATTTTTATTGGCACTGCCACCTGTTAAATTAATGATATTTGAATTATATATCCCTGAAATTCCATCCAAATCTTACTCTTTAATCTAAATCCTAACCCAACATCTTGCACACACTTTCTCACTTTCCCACATGATTCTGCTAAAAAAGACAAAACAGAAATTTACATATTTCGACTATTTAAAACACTTTGGCTTAAGGCAAATGCCCAAGAAGCTCTATAAATAGTAAAAAAGTCTATATATATATAGAAATACACATATGCGGCTATGGCTAGCTGCAAAATCAAAAAGTTGTTCGAAATCGTAAATGGAACAAACTGTTCCTCCTAAGTTATAAATATATATTTAGGAATATACTTAAAGGCATAGGTATAGGAATGCCTCTATGATCTGTCCACCGTTTTGAAGGTGAACTCTGAATCTGAAGGATTACGTAATGGGGTGAGGTAAGGGAATTTGAGGGACAGGAGCAGCCTCTCCATATCTGAAATAAATGCACGTAAAACGGCAAGCGAACGCTGGCAAATAATTAAGTATTAGAAATGTTCAGCTGAGGAGAATTCCGCGGAAAGTCCGATGGCAAAAAAATACAGCATGTTGCAGTTGTTCCCAGCTGAGCTTCCTAGCTTCTTAGCTTCTTGGCCAAGAGTTCTCGGCCAGACAGGCTGACTTCGGCTGACGATCGCCTAGAAAGACAGCCGCACTGGAGCCACTGCAGACTGCATCCAGCTGGAGAAAGGGGCGGAGAAAGGGGATCTGGATGGATGCAGCCTGCAGCCAACTAACCAATTAGTAAGCGCTGCACAGAACGCGTCTACAATTGTGAGAACCTAAGACTTGGGCCAGACTTACAGGCCAACAAGCCAAGAAGCCAACAGGCCGTGTGAGTATGATGAAATGTCAGCAGGACCAGGAGCACCATCGAATTGCACTGGCAAAAATAATTAAAAGGTTTTTAAAATTTTTTAAATGAATCTTACAAGATTATGCCTTTAATACGATAAGTTTAGAACATACTTAGAGCAAACCTATCATTTATTTTTCCAAAAAATGGACAAATAGTTTGAATGCCAATTGAATTAAATTTCGAGCTCATCGAACCCATACTTTTTAGAATTTTTAGTTTCTAAGTTCCCAGCGTTTGTAGGGACATGAGTAATGTCAATCTGACCTTGTATTAAAGTCTATTTACACTGGGGTGGAGTTATGGAGTTATGGGGTTATTGACATAACCCTGTTTTTTTTACATAGGATGTGTATAGGCAACTAGATGTGGGCAAAAGTGGGGTACTTTTAGGGTCTTTGGTATTTCGGAGTATTTTTTTGTATATTTCGGTATATTTTTTATTTATTTCCTATCGTTGAAGGTCCATCCCTAGTCAAATGAACAACACAAGCAACAAACACTAGATGTCATTACTCGATATTTGGAGTTAACCAAGTGGAAACACTTTTTTGGAGTAATCGGGTTATTGGCTCACTCGATAGGTTACCCCACACAGTGTGACTAGACTATAAGTATATACATTAGGGTGGGTCGATTTGGGACCCCAAAAATCGTATAGGGGGAACGTAATCTTTAAAGGATTCTAAGCCATATTGGCGAACATACTTATGGTCTAAAATGATGTTTGACCCCCCCCAAACGCGAATGAAAAATACTGTTTTTTTGAGAAAAATATCATAGTAGTCAGCACATTTATAGTACTGAATATCAATTTCAAATTTTTATTTTAAATTTAATAATACATCTGAGCTGACTACTATGATATTTTCCTCAAAAAAAGCTGTATTTTTCATTCGCGTTTGGGGGGGGTCAAACATCATTTTAGACCATAAGTATGTTCGACAATATGGCTTAGAATCCTTTAAAGATTACGTTCCCCCTATACGATTCATCACTTTTTTCGGCCCCATACAAATCGACCCGCCCTAATATACATACATAGGTATATTTAATAGGGTCGAAAACGCTTTCTTCTCCCCGTAACATACTTTTCAAGTTATACAATATTTACTTATCGGATTAGTAAAGCCTCTATGAATAATGGCTATGACATGACATCCAGCACTCAGTGTTTACTCTTAAGAAAGCAATGAATGCTAGCAAATATGTTTAAAACTAAAGAACTATACACAAAAAAAACCTGTTCCAGTAAAATCTATATGGCCATGTTAACTTTAGGTTATGCAAAGCCCATATCGACCAGGTCTAATTTACCTGGCCTCATATTAAATTAAAATTTATCTTAAATAATGTACAATCGACCTACGTTTCATATCGATTTTTTTTTGGTGTACCCCATTTTCCCTCAGTGTCTCGGAGGCAGATGAACCCCAACACCGAAGACCGGGTGCCCGCTGCGTGGATCGATCCTTATATGATCCGTTGGCCAGCGGCAAACGTTCTATTTTGACAGTCATTATGATTAATTTAAATCATTAGGCAGCCCGGGCAGGTAGACAAACCATCGAGTTTCTATATTTCATTCTAATTAAATGCAGGGGGAGTGGGGTTGGATGTGGTCCTGGAGACCGGGCCGAAGAGCCTGCTCCTGAAGACCTGGCTTATTCGCGGAAGAGACAAGCTGGCGACAACGACACCGATGGCTGGAAAAGGCAACGATGACCATTTGCAGCTGGGGGAATGCATCATCTTCGATCTTTGATCGCGGGACGAGGTGGTGAGTGTATCTCCTATATATCTCCTGGCTATCTGTTAGTCACTGCACGTGGCCATGCCCACCCGGCCGCCTCCGCCCCCCTTGTCAGAATTTTCTTGCGAACCTCTATTTAAGGACATGGCGAAATACTCGTGCTCCTGTGTACAAGTGGGCCCACCACGCAAATCCTCTAGAGCATTCGGACCATATTGGCCGGGGCTAAAAAATTCCTGGCATAGTTTAAGTGTATCGCTTTTTGTGGTTCCTGTTGTTGTTGTGTCAGTGGGGACTTGAGATGCCCGCAAAAGACTGTAAAAAGCCTGTAAAATCTGGTGGATAAAAAAACAGAAATTACAAAATCACAAATTAACTAAATTAACAGAGGGATGATAAGCGAAAAGCATGTTAAAATGGCGCAGTCCAGGTAATTACAAAACGCGATCAGGGTATTTTGAAAAGGGGAGGAGCCAACTTACTATCCATAAAGTTCCGAAATCGAAATCCCCTATCTATGCGCATGCGCAGCGAATGAGTATGCATATGGGGGCGTGGCCTTCTAATTAATTAAGCCATAAAACCAGCCGCCTCGGCAAAATGAAAGACAGTGGAATAAATAAGGGGGGTTTTCTTATATACACAACGCTCTTTCCCAGCGATCTAAGAGCACTACACAGAAAAATCACTCTTTCGGAAAGAGAGAACCGGTCGGCCCAAGTTTGGAATATCGAACGATCATCGCCGTTGGAACTTTTAAAACACTTTTGCACGCCATCTGAGCAACAACGTTGCCAGCCATCGATCGCAAGTTTAGCTCTGTTTAGCCCGTCGAATCGTATCGCCTCGAATCGTATTTGGATTGAACCACAATAAAATCGCCACAAATAAAGTAAACAGTCCAAACAAGTGCCTAGCGACAAATAAGCGACCAGCAAACTAAATGCAACGCATACGGAACAAACAAAAACACAAATATTTCCCATAACTGCACGGAATCAACGAAATCAAAGCCAATTTGGAAGGATTTTTTGAACAAAAAGTCTTGGAATAAATTTGAGGAAAAACGGAAATTAAAAGAAAAGAAGACATCAAGAGCTAAACGTTAAAATTAATTAAATTAAATTAAAAGGCCATACAAAGGAAAATTAATCAAAGGAAGGACAGTAAAAACATCAATGATAAACCTACAAAAACGGGCAGAAAATAAATCAAAACTTAATAAACTACAAAAAAACATTGCAACTCGTGGAAGAATTTAATTAATCCGCTAAATAAAAATTAATTCAGCAAAGAAAATTAAATTAAATCTCCACAAAAATAAAAAAAAAACACTAGCTAAAGTAAAAAATTAAATGTAAACAAAAAGCCATACAGAAACTAAAAGCCATAATAAGCAACCAGAACTTTAGCTGCAAACACAAACCACGAAATTCGACACAATTCAAATTTGCCGCCCAGCCGCTACTTCGCAACACTCGAGCGCTTCAAATACAGGGTGATTCCTGCAGCCAGGGGCTGTCAGCTGTCATTTTTCCTGTGTGTGTGTGTGCGCATTGCAAAACGTCGGCGTTGCACCGAAAACTTAAAAAAGTCGCGTTCCTGGCCGAAAACCCGGGTTGTTAGCCAATTCGCGTGGTTTTGCGGCCCAAGAACTTGGCCCCCAGGCAGCCGGGCATCGAGAAACCGCCCCAGAAACGCGCCGCCGCAGCCCAGAAGACGAGAAACGCCTGCGAAACGCGCGCGCTGTGTCTGTTTTCCCGTGTGCGGTGTTATTTTTGGAATATAAAGCGAGATCTGATCGGAAAAGTGTGCCGCGGCCGGATTTCTGTAGATAGATATCTATAACCCACAAAGAACCCACAAGACGCAATAATAGACGCGCGCGGTGCCTTGGATTTCTACGGCTCCACGGTGGAGAACTTTTACCTCAGAATGGATCCGACGCGAGGTGACTCGCGCTACAATCTCAACTACTCGATGAGTAGTATTGGGCTGAGTCTGGCGGATCCGGCGGACATGTACGGCAATCCCGCCCTGGGGGCGGGTCGTCCGCCCTCCGGCGGGCTGCTCCAGAATATGGGCGGCGGTGTGCCGCCCATGCAGCGGGCCAATCCCGCCGGCGGAGGAGCACCACCTGCCACCCAATGCCAAACGCTCCACAGCCCACAGCACGCCTCCCAACAGCAGCAGCAGCAGCAACAACAGCAACAGCAGCAACATCAGCAGCAGCAGCAGCAACATCCCCAACAGCAACAACAGAGGGGCCTCAAGCGATCCGGCAGCGATTGCTACGAGGATCACCATCGGTCCTCCGGCGGAGGACTCACCCTCCAAGGACTCGACAATGTGACCACTGGCACCGTGGACGACAGCGTGGACAACTACAATCCCTTGCCCAACAAGAAGTCGCCGCCCGCCAATGGCAAAAAGACAAAGGGACGTGTCAAAATCAAAATGGAATACATCGACAACAAGCTGCGTCGCTACACGACCTTCTCCAAGCGCAAAACGGGCATCATGAAGAAGGTAAGATCGGTTGGGGCTATCCCCATACCATCCCTACACCATACCCATACCATCCCCATCCGAATCCCAATCCCTGAGCCACGATTGGCGCTGCAATTGGGATGTTGACATTCGGCCACGTTTCCAGCGCATGTGCAATTAATAAATGCTTCGGGGATTCAGTTGCGACGGAATCCAAAAGCTTCTCTTAGAACTCTGGCATTGTTCGCCCTCCAGAAAGAGCGGGGATTTATCGTCATCTGGCCATCGGCACAGTGGTGAGGATGGTGGGGAAATTCTAGGGAGGAAGAATCCTCCAATTAGCCAAATGGATTTAATTTTCGAATAAGTTTTTCACTTATTTTATTCAGTTTTTCTATTAGAAAACATTTTTCCATAAAACCTATCTTCACATTTAAAAAAAATGTAAGGAAGTAGTGGTTTGATTTAAAAAAATATCGACTAAAATTACATATGTTTAGTAGCAATTTTAAAATTTAAAGCCAAGTTTCGGTTAAATCATTCAGTTGACTTTAAAGATTAAAATCATGCATACAAAGTTTAAAAATAAAGCAAATTTTCAAACGACTTTTTTCATGATAAAATCAAACACCTAAAATTCATCATAAACAAATTGCTTTCTCAAAAAGTAAGACATTAAGGCGCAATAACGCAATTGAATTGATCATTCTGGAGATAATTAAAATTATTTTGAAAGCATTTAAACACCAACAAACAACATCTACAAGATTTTTTCAAAAAATCCTTAATCTTAGTTCTTCAACCACTGTGCCCGCGAAGTTCCCTCGCTCGTCTCTAGAACAGTAGCAGCAGATCTTCTGCTTTTTGGCCAGATCGCGTCTGTTCAAGCCAACTGTTTGGTGGCTTTCGCTTTGGCGGCGTTGTGTAAGCGCGGTAGCCCACGATTCCGCGTTTCCCTTTGTTTTCGGCTTCATAAAATGTTAATTTGCCGCCGCAATTGCATTCAAAGGAGGCTGCTGCCCACCAGTTGCCGGCCCACAATCCGCATCCACAACCACTTGCATATCCGCTCCTCCCCCAAAAACAATTGATGCGTGCTCCTTGCGGATTCTGGCCCACTCGTTGCAATGTGGCCAGTGGCTTGGCATTTTCAAATGACCAATTTTCACACGCAAACTTACATAATGCCACTGCATTTGCTCCTGCTGCTTTCCATCGATCTGCGGGGCCGCATATGAAATTTTTCACATTTTTCGAATAGACTTCCCTGGCCACTAGCTTAAACCAAGCCCCCGATCAAAATCAGACAAAAAAGCATCAACATCGCGGCGCTAAATCACGATCTCAGCACGATCTTTGCCCAAGACACAAAATCTTATGAAATATTTGACCCAAGCAGGCCAACGAAACAAAAACGTACGAGCTCTAAAATTTAAAAGGAGAATATTTGAGAATAAAAAATTTCAAGTACTTTATTTGGTAATAGGAATAGAAAATGTAGCATAAAATAAAGGTGTATAATTGGTTTCCTAACTGAACATCAGAATAAAATTTTATTTTAAATTATTAAATTTATTTTATTATCATTTTCATAAGGTTTGTAAATTCTGTAAAAATACTTGCAAGTTTATACGTTTGTGATCGATTCCATATTTTTATAAAACGCACATTTTCAAAATTTATTTGATAATTAAATGACATTACTTTGTCGGTTAGACTATCCAAAATATAAAAATTAGTGGAATTAAGTTTAAATAAAAAAAAAATATATATTTCCATACTGAAGAATAGATTTTCATTCCTAATCAAATTGCAAGATAAATGCATTACCATTTACGCATGGTTTCAAAATTTATTTTTACAATTTAAAAGTGATTTCTTAGGCTGATTCATTATTTTAGTAGTTTAGCCTCAGTACTTTTTCAAATGTTATTTGATACCAAAATGGCATTACTTCGTCGGTTAGAGTATCCAAAACATTTGACCCCTGGGACGTGGGTTCCCCGTTCGCAATTGTGGTTCTCGGGGGCCGAAACTTATGACAGGCGCACGCTCGGGACAAAAGACCGCTTCTATATGCGTTCCAAAAAAATATCATTTTGGTGACTTTGATGCGGTCCCTCATCGATGTCCAGCCGGCGGACAGTTGACAGGCAGACAATGGGATTTCGACTTGGCGCTACCAGCGGTGGCAGCAAAAAGCGCAAAAAGCAAAGGCAATCTGCAATCCGCCATCCCTACCGGCCAACAACAAATTGCGGCCAATGAACTTGGCCCAGAGAGTTGTCGCCGCGGCAACCTGTTGGCATGCTTTCCACTGGCCAATTTTGGTCATTTCGATCTGGCCAAGAGCTGGCCAAGACGTGTGGGTGGCGGCGAGGCCAAAAAAGGCCACGAGAGTGAAAAGTGAGCTAATGTCCCAGAAGTGATCTCATTTGCTGGCCAGCCTAATTGCGTGGGCCGCATTATCATCGATCGAACCAAAGCTTTCGCTTCTTGGCTTCTGCATAATGCACGGCGAAGCCATCGAACAAGCCATCGACAAGTTCCCAACAATTGGCCATGGTTAAAAGGGCACACGGGCGCAAAATGCCGCCAAAAGGTGTTAAATTGAAATCACGAGGCTGGGGATTGGGATTGGGCTTGGGAATTGTTTGTTTTTTTGGGGGGGAGCAACTTTCAGCTTCCAGCACGGAAGCTTAAGCCCCAGCCTCGTCGGCAGATTGTGCCCAGATAAGCCCCAGAAAGCCGGGCCAAGAGGCTCCAAGTCGGCTCGCCTTTTGGCCACATGCAACAGGCTGTGTTGTTGCCTTAACAACAACAACACAGGGGGCAGAACAAGGGGTATGAAAACAGGCAACAATCGGCTTCTAACAAATGACTCTCCATCTGGACGGAGCACAGGCCGCGGTCTCTGGGGCTGCCTTCTTGTCCTGTCAACGCTTTCGTACCCTCGTACCAATCCTCGCCCCAATCCCGAGTCGTGTCCTTTTGTCTTTGTTCGAAATTCAAATTGACATGAATTGTTGGCCTGTTCGCGGATACGCGGCTACGCGGCTACCTACCTAGGCATACAATCGACACCTACTCAGAATCAGAATCGGAATCAGTATAATCGAAATCCGATTCAGATTCCGCTTTCGGACCGTGTCAATTGTTTGCATTTACACATGTTACACATAAAATTGGCAGCCAATCGATGGGGTTGGGGTAATCCCCATCCCAATCCAATCGAATCCGATCCTATGCGATCCCCAATCCCCATCGCCATTCGGCCAACAATGTGTACAACAATTTCATTAATATTAATAAATGTTCCCGAAGCGTTTGCTTCTTGGTCCGCCAGTTATTTATGCGCTGTGTTTTTCGCTCCTCGACTCACGGCAGCAGCAAAAGTGGCGGAAAAATAGCAAAAACTGTTTTGCCCGCCAGACCGACAGCGACTTTATCGCTTTTATAGTAATTACGAGCTGTTGATAGGCAGCTTAGGCTACCGTCTACCATCTAATGTACATGATATCGACCAGGGAACTCGAACTCCATCGCGATGCTTGCGTGACTTTCGGGTCTTTTGCGTGGGCGTGCTCAGAAAAAAAGTTAAATAAAAGGGAAAAGAAGGGTACGACTTACCGATTTCTCTGGCGTAGACATACGAAATGGGTTTGCCATGATCTACTCGGATTTATTACAGATTAGGGATGTTTTACAAAACATAAACGATTAGGTAAGGGGATAGTAAAAGTTAAATCTAGTGGAAAGGGTTTCAAAAAAAATAAAAATAAAGAATGATGTTTACGTAGAATAACTAAATGACTGGCTTACTAAATATCATGTTTTTCTTTTACACTTATAATGTTAAAACACATGATCTAAGACAAATTTCTAACATGATGACCGAATTTTAATTATTTAGAAGCGATCTCATCGAAATACAATGATATTAGGTAGATTGATATTGAAAATACAGAAAAGACAACTACTTCAAATTTGACATCCTTTTAAACTATTTATTTTTTAATTTTCGGGATATGTATAAGTATAATTTCTATACCTTAACAAGTAAGGAGTCAGCAAAATTATATCATCTGAGTTAATGGTATCCCATATACAAATTTTAGAATATCATACTTTCAGACAATTAGCTTTAGGATTACTTGATATATACTAACTAAAACGTGCCTAGACACGCGGCCATCTCTGGTAATTTAAAGTCCGGCACATTCGGGGTCCCGCTTAACGCTTCTTATCGCTGCAACATAATCGCATAGTTGGTGGGGTAAATTTATGTGCCGCTGGGGCAACACACGCTTCGCCAGTCTGCTTCGTCTGCCTCGGCAGTTGGCTAGCAGATACCCGATACCGATTCCCGATAGCATCGAGTACTTAACACGATCCTCTGCTCTTTCCTCCACTTGCAGGCCTACGAGCTGTCCACGCTGACCGGGACGCAGGTGATGCTGCTGGTGGCCAGCGAGACGGGCCACGTGTACACATTTGCCACGCGCAAGCTGCAGCCGATGATCACCTCGGAGGCGGGCAAGCAGCTCATCCAGACCTGCCTCAACTCGCCGGATCCGCCCAGCGTGGGCGGCGGCGACCAGCGGATGTCGGCCACCGGATTCGAGGAGACGGAGCTCAGCTACAACATCGCCGACGAGGACTCGAAAGTAAGACAATTGATATACGGCCACCACGGGCACGCTCATCTGGGTCACCCGCCGGCGCCGCCCTCGCACTACAGCCTCGAGCAGAGCCTGATGCAGTCGGGCTACAGCGGCGGCCAGGCCTCGCCCCTTTCCCACGCCCAATACGGCGGACACGGGCACCACGCCCACGTGCCGCACGTGCCGCCGCCGCATTCGACGCACTCGCACATGTCCCACACGCATGCGCAGCGCTAGGCTTCTCCTTTTAGCCAGGATGCTCTAGATGCAATATCTGGGACTTGGTTGGTGCGGAGAGAACGGAGGGAGAAGGTGATCTAGCTTTCAGTGTCAGTTCCTGAACTTACGATAGGCGATATAGTATTCTACAATCAGCTATTCTGGTCTTTAATTTCAGATTTATGCCTAATGATTTGAATTCGAAATTAATTCTTTTTATTACCTAAAGACAATAATATTTAAAAGTCATTAATAATTATTTTTTTTACCCTTTTTTCACAAAGTAATAACCACTAGAAGCCAGTTGACAAAGTTCCATTAGGCCAAAAATGATAAAACACCCTGTCTTTCACAATATTCTGGGTTGCAACTCTGTATTACCAAAACACCACACCTCGAAGTTCTCCCGCACATAAAAAGATACCAAGCCAGTTTAGTTAGACCGCAATTTATATATGTTTAGCAGATCCAAAGTGCAGCAAATGGCTTGATCGAACTTCGATACTAGTACTTCGTATTTCGGATCCATGGCCAATACGATCTCGCCGCTCGTTTTGTTCTTGTTTATCGCAGATCGCAGTGTTTTGTGTTTTTTTATTAATCGTAATTGTAATTGTGTATTTTACATTTTTTTTGTATACTAGTCAAGACTCTTACTTAAAGGCGACTGTGCCATAGCAAAGCTACAGCTCCTCCCAAGTACATACCCACGTCCCACATCCCATAGCAATAGATCCAATGTCGCACATCAGCTGCAGCTTCCAATCCAGTGCCATTCTGTTAAACCACTAGAGACACATCGAGACACAGCCGAGACTGCTTTAGTTAGTCCTTTAAAGTTAAAGTTAAAACTTTAAGCCATAAGTGCAATACCATACACAACTAGATGGAAACTTTCCGTAAAGATTTGCTGTACAGAGTCTAAAGGGTAAACAGCTTCAGTGTGCGTTTACGAAACTTAGTTAAAGCAAGTTGATAGCAAATAAACAAGTAAATATGAAACAATGTCGAATGCGCCGGCGGCCGTTTTCCATTTTCCTGAGTGTGAGAGAGTGTGATGATGATGATTATAATGCGTGTGTGATGAGCGTGCTCCGTAGAGTTTAAGCGTATTTTCCGGGTTCGTTTAGCCTAATGTTAGTATGTTAGTTATGTTTATTCGATCGATCCAATTGGCTTTTATTGACACCTACTAATTGGATGTTGCATGACGAATCAAATCGCTCAAAATGATCTGTTCCAAATTATTCCGTGCAACACAACCGCTACTTACTCACCTTTGAGCTGTTTGCTTGTTTCGCTACTTCTACTAATATTTATTGTACATCTAAATTTAAATACCAAATTAAAAAACAGCTCAAAGCCAGTTCTCTCACATCAAAAGGCAATTTACATTTAATTTATTACTTAATTTTTACTCAGCTAAAGAAAATACTCTACAAGCACACATAATTTAATTACCGAAACACACACATTTTCTGTCAAACAGAAAGCCAAGTTATTTCTTTAATACTAGTTAAATTTATTTATTTAATAGACCGTGCACTGCGCCGCAGCAAAACAAAAGACGTAAATCGAATAACCCTAAAGCAATTTACCTAATAAGCCATCAAAAATATGTTTAAAAAACAACCACAAAATAGTATCTATACAAAGCAAATATAAATATATATATTATTTAGCGCAATATTATAAAATAATAAAAAGGAAAACGAAAAAAAACCGGAGAACCCAAACATATTTCCAGCTGTTTCAAGAGCAAGGTTAAGAGCACTGCGATAAGCCCGAACCCAAAGTTTCTAGTTTCTAGCCTACACACTATCCACTAATAATCCAAATCTAGCGAGTGGGTCGGCTCTCCATGAATGAATTTCAGATTTCGTTATATGTTGTGTATTTCTGTTTTCCTTTCGATGTTGCAAAGAGCTTCCGCTTCTCCCAGCCGATAGAGCCCGAATGAAAAAGTTTTTGGCTGCGGGGGCTTTGTGACGTCATGACAACAATGCTGGCGACGAGTTCATAAATCGATCAGAGCCACCATTGAATCTCGTCATGCACCAACAGCCAAGTCGTCAGTCAGTCAGTTTCAGCTTCAGTTCCAGTTCCCCTCGCTTTTCTCCCGACTTGGCATGCAAATCGCGTTTGTGGCTCGTACTTTTCAATGCCAAAAGCTTTGGCGTAGGCACTACTACTGGCCTCTTGGCTGCCCCGATGACGTGTGCCACGATCCCCGCCCCCAGCCCCCCTCTTTCTTACCCCGCCCCCCACCAAAAACTCAACTCAGTTTTTCCATTCAGCATGGGCCGATGAATGAAAGCCAAAATGTTGTGGGTGTGACACCAACGCCGGCTCAGGTCATCAGTTGTTGCTCTACACATGCAGAAAAATGTTAATCTTTGACTGAAAATCTAAACCCTTTCATAACTTCTGGTATCTTTTGAAGGTTAGACAAAATATTTAGAGAGCTGTTGCGATATTTCTTGCGCAGAAATCTATGTTTTAGGCATCTTATTTAAAGATGTGAAGAAAGAGGAAACACAATACTTACTTTTGAGTAATTTGTTGTCAATAAATAATATTTCGTATTTTATTTCCTGTGTATCTAACCGCCAGCTGACTGATAAAATAAAATCCATAACTTGTACCGCTGCTGCTGTAGGTCGTTCTGCCGCCGCCAACTCTTTGTCCAGCCAAGGTTAATTGCCGACTTGCAGTGGGCTGTTCGCTGTGCTGTTTGCCAACATTTGCTGGCTCACATTATATATGCTCACTTATATATATCTGGCTCCGATCGAGAGTGCGATCCATCAGTCTGCGCGGGTGTCTTGGCTACATAGATCGCCTTCTATAGTCGCTCACCTGCGCATCATCATCTAAACATCTGAAACGCCCACGAAGCCCAACCAGTAAAAAAAGCTGCAAGTTTGTTGGCTTGTACGATTTGGTTTTTATTTCAACATTTTATTTGCATTGCCTAGCGTTGACATGACTTAAGAGATATTAGTAAAAAACATACTGTTACTGCTGTTATAAACAAATTTTAAAGGCAGATGTAAAATGGTTCTTACAACTTTTATTAATTCTCATTGAACAATTTTGGGGTTTGAAACTGGGGAAATGGAAGTAGATTCTTGTATTCTAGTATTTTTATGCTGAGTTGATATATTTTCTTAAAAATCTTAAATCTTCAATTAAATACTTTTAAAAGTTGTTTTATTATAAACTTGAATTTATCAATACTCAACAAAATATTTTTTATTTTTTTCCCCTTGTTCTCCCTTGACATTTCCAAATAAAATAGTAAAGTTCCACTCGAGTTTATAGTTCACGTTGTCTACCTTTTTTTGGATCAAAACAAATTTTCTGATCAACCCCCTAAATACCTCATCATTGGCCTTAAGCAGCCAGCAAAAACAAAACGAAATAAACCAAATCGAACCTCTGGCCCAGGTTTTCCTCCACGCCAGTGGGAGCACGGGTGCATATCAGTTTGAGAAATTAAAAGCATTTTGCGGTTTCGCTGACTATCGAAGCTGCGTGCCGCTCGAGCCTCTAACGACATTTCAATGATTTGCTGTTGCTGCTGCTGCGCCTGCAACATGGCCACGTGCGCAGCACAAGACGCAGGAAGGCGGAGGACAAAAGCATTTGCAATGCTCGTCGATTACGTACGAGGGCGACCTCTGTCAGCCGGGTTCCAGGCTCCAGGTTCCAGCTTCCAGTCCAGCTGTCCAAAAGCCACCAACAACGCAGGAACCCAAGGAATCTCCACTGCGGATTTTGTGTTTAAGCCGCCGCTGCGAGTTCTAACCGCATGCCGCCACAATGTCCTCTTAATTTCCTAGTGAGCGCGGGCTCACCACGCGATGATATCGCCGGCGATCCTCCAGAATCCCCCATCCCCAGTCCCCTGTCCCCTATCCACCATTCCCAATCCGAATCCCATCCCATCCCATCCAGCCGTCGTCCTCTGTCTGTGCGCTCGTTTTTTAATTCAACTGATTGTACTGCAGCTTCTGGAATTCGGCATTTCTTAAAGCCTTTGCGCACACACATTGTGAGTCGGCAACTTCTGGGGACTCGGGTACTTGGATACTTGGCCACTTGGCCATTGGCCATTGGCCATTGGCAACTTGGAACCTCCGACTCCTGATGCTTCTGCGCCGCTGCCGCCGCCTTCGCAATCTGAAAAGGTTAAGAAATGACAATTTGTGAGCGTTTTTTCTTTTCTTTCGTTTCGTTTCGTATTTCTTTGTATTGTTTTGGTTTTGTTATTTTTTGTCCTCGGTTCTGTTTTTTTTTTTTTGCAAGTTGGCCTGTCTTGCTTTTGGCCCTGTTGCTTTCATTGTGATTATTTAAAAGCCAGACTGAGACCTTAACGAGGCGCTTTTGGCCTTTCAGCAGGACTCACATTTAGTTAAGCAATTATTGGGCCGCAATGCAAACAAATAATGCGTACATTGTGCGCGTTTTAGAGTCTATCTGCCTCAGTGGTTTGTTTCCCAATCCACAGTCCCCTATCCCAATCCCAATCCCCGCCGACTTACTCCAATGATTTTCCAAGTTAATCAAAATTCTTGGCTATCCACGTTGAAATCTCTGCGACCTTCCCCCCTTTTCCATGGCTCTTCTAGCGCCGCCGTGCCACGCCCAAATGCAACGCCCATCCAGTGGAGCGTGGCGGAGGCAGCGATTTGGAGGAAACTTATGGCTTTTTCGCCGTACCGCTCCCCGCTTTGCAGCTACTTATATAGGCAAAGGCAGCTCCGCTTCACTGACCAATT